CTATATATATACACACACACACACAAACGTTATAGTGTTAACCTCACACACACACACAAACATAAAGAAAAAAAAAAAGAGAGACTAAGATGATGTCATGACCATAGCCGTAATACTGTACAATTGGAATAATTACAAAGTCTTTCTTGTTTACAGTCATTTACATGTTACAGTGCATTTATAGAAAAATGAGCTGCAACCATATGTCTCGTACCACAACCATACAACCGACTCAAAATATATGCCAGAACTTTTCTATATTGGACCTGGCTCCTAGATCTGAAAATATTTGTTGAGGCCTGTGCTAGAGTTCTTTCAAATACTAGCCATTGATAAAAGTCATACAATTCTTTTAGAATACACTCATTAAATTTTAAACGGAAAATGAGAGAGCCATCAAACTGACACTTTTTTAATTTAACTTTTCTTAAGATGAGTGCTGTCTTACTTATATACTATCACGTAAATTATCTATGGTATTTATTGCATCGCCTATTTCTGGCCAATTTGCTCTGGCAGCTTTGTGGAATTCTAGATCAGGTAACCCTCCCAAAATTAGCTATTTGAGTTTTCCACAACTGCACACAGGATTTAGTACAGAATTCTCCCTTCTTATGTTCACGTGTGGTTTGTAGCTGATTCATGTTGAAGACATTATTACAGTGCTCCAAATAACTTTAGCCATGGTCAGTACAGTACTGATCAAGTTTTTCCTCTATCAGTATCTGCCAAAGGTGGTCAGTAATTCATTATCATGGACAAGTGTCCGTATCCTGGTTTATGTAGCAAATGAATTATTCATAAGAGTTTGAATGCATTAATATTAACTTATTGTGCATTTGGCCTCAAGAACGTAGTACAAAAATAGATACACACAATTTACACATATATTTTTAATTTTCTTAATTCTTTGTTTGTGTGGCTGTGAGAGCCCCACCCTTCTCCTGTTCTTACCACTGTTCCACATTTTAATTACAATGAACTTTCTGGACTTAACATTACACTTTTCAGCCTTCAGAAAGCACCTGAGTTTTATCTTGGCCGTTTCATACAGAAAAGCCACTTTCAAAATTAACAATTGTTACACAAAAGCGTAAAGCTATGTGACACAATTTGGACATAATATGAAATTGGTCACCATGCAGTTTAATAACCCTTGATGTAAATGGCTTAAATTAAACAAACAGGATGGGGGAAAATAATCAAGTTTACAAACTATCAAAAACATTGATAGTTGAGGGTACTAGCAGCAATTGTTATCAATTCTAAAATTTACCATTGATACATTGCTATCAGGATGTGCAATCAACTGATAGTTCAATGTATTATTACACTTCTAGTAGTGGTTTGCTTACTTTTTTAAACACAATGCAAGCATCCATGTGGAAAAATAGCCATTTTCACAGTTTCCAACCAGTAGTCACACCAATTCATACTGTAGCATATCGGTGATAGTACATCCATAACCGATACACGTAAAATAAAAAAATATACATATCTCTAGCTATCTGGAGCACTGTTACTATTCAAGTTTTCCTCAATGTCAGCATTAATCTCATCTACTCCACTTATATTTCTTGTAGTACTTTTACCCACATCAGCCATGTTTGGCTCATCATTTACTGTGATGTATATGTCAACAGAATGGGCATTTGTTGATCGCCAGCAATGCCCAACTTGGTCTTCAACATTTCAGATACTTCGTGTTTTGTGAGCCATCTATTAGCCCTTTCTGTTGCTACTTTACTTAGAGGCTTTAAAATGGGTTATTTTCGACAGAAGGGGCATATAAATTTAGTGGTACGGTTTGGTACGCAATAAGTGGAGTAGGCTAACTACATGAAGGATTTGAGTATCCTTTCTCAACTAGACATTTTCTGTTGTGTTTCTTGGTGACCTGGATTATTCGAGAATGTACAGCCTCCCAGTAGCAGGTGCTGAACATAAAATTCTGAGAATGTACAAATTCCAACAATAGTCAGCTACATATTATTGGATATTCTGTCCCCATATAAGCCCTCTCCCTAACAAAGCTGAGAACACCATTGAAAAGAGACAGGATTTTCATTAAGATTTTCACTGGTGTCTTCTTGGCATATAAGATGAAGGTGATAGTCAATACTTTGGATCTTTGGTGGGGGGATATCATTCAGAGCATACCAGACCCAATATGCCCCCCCCCCCATCAATATATATTCACTACTTTCATTATGCAATCACAATGATGGCTGAAACCATTTGGAAGCTAACATTAATAAAGAAAAAATTATCAGTGGAAGATATTTAAAAAAAATGCATACAAGAAAAATCCATACCTTGTGTGTTTTGGAAATAATGACGCCAGAGAGGTCTAATTTTATCTTGCCCACCTACATCCCATACAGTGAAGCTTATATTCTTGTATTCTACTGTTTCGACATTAAATCCTGGAAGAAGAATGGAAATTAGATAATTATTAGACCTATATCATTTTTTAAAACCTTTGATACTGATTTATCACCATAACTGTTATCATCACATCAAATACTTTAATATTTAGTCACACTGGACAACATAAACACATCCCAAATAATGAACAAGGTGATAAAAAAACCTAAAAATAAGAAAATATAATTCAAAAATGCCAAAATAACCAGTAGTGACATACACGTATTGTCCAAAAGATAGCTTTAACATTAAGTGTTTGAGAAAACAGATTCAACTCCAATAATGTGCCTTACCTTAAAAAAAGGTTAAAGATTTTTAGGACATACAGAATAATTTAAGATCTTTACTTTTCTAATAAGTGTTATGTTGTTCCATAAATTTTAAAGCTTAAAATGATTAAAAAAGGTTGAGTATGAACATTCTCAATACTGGTAGAATGTACACAAAAACTCGTTTATTTTCAACTAATTTAAATGTGATTCAGTAAACAAAAGGATACATAGAGAATAAAACGGTAGAAAAATAATAGATTATAAATATTCTATTACATCTAACCATAAGATTCTTCTTTGATAATGAAAAACCTGTTTTTCACCTTCACATAATGGCAAATGCATACACCAAGTTAGAAAAAAAAACTGTTTAAAGTACAAGAAAGAATGATAAACAACTTTTAATAATGTAACATGTGTTTGAGTGTATTTCAATAATTACATAAACCATGGTTTACCCATTGGTAAATTTATTAGCTAATGGTTACAATAACAAGTGGTTTTTAATTTTAATAGAAGCCATATTTGTTTTACTTTTTCACGATTATCACCAAGCCACTGATGCACTAAATTTCCCCATATTTACTCAAAAATACTGAATATTTTTTTTTCATGTTATCCTAAAAAAAATTTTCTTTAAGCACAAAGCTACACAATAGATTATCTGCACTGCCCTCATTGCAGAAATCAAAACCTAAAAATAACATTATAAGCCCTTAAGTTTATTACCGAGTTATCAGGAGTTAAAGATATTATAATTGATCTTCATTTCTTTTTTTTTCGTGCAGTTAAAAATTCTGTTCAGATAGTTTTAATTTATAAAGTTGTTAACCCTTACAAAGCTGCTACCATTTGTATTGGAAAATTCCAACCTTGCATTAACAAAAATTAATAACTGATAGTAGTCACCATATCTGAAATGCAGACATTTCAAACACACAGGATAACAACCATGGGATCTTTAAAAACAAATTTCATTTTTTGATTTATTTATGGTTTATAATACAATAAAAAAAACTACATAACATAGCTATTTACTATGCCGTTATGAATGATCCCTGTAATAATAATTTTTCCTCCGGGCTGGGAAAGTCATGTGAGAAACAAGTCATGGATAATTACATCTTCAAGGGATGACTAGTTTCTTAGCAAACAAACCTTTGCTTTGGGATGGTCAGAAAAACTATAAAAACCTGTGTTGTCACAGGTGAGATAGGACAGAGCTGTGCAGAAATGATATTTAAATTTTTTTTTCATTTTTCTTTGCAAGTTACACTATATAGATGTTACAAAATGACAATATCAGTTTTAAAACATTTTAGTTAAAAACTGTGTAAATATAATATCAGGTCTGCATTTTACACTTGATAAGTGTTCTGTAATCTAAATATGGTTAATCACATTTGAAGAAATGATTTTTTCTTTAGATATTTTCAAGTTGATAACGAAGCAGTGATTTTGTTCACGAATAAGTTAATGAAATTATTAATTAAAGGAAGAAACAATAAGAAAAAATCTGAACAAAGAATCTTATCTCTTAAATTACAACACAATCACCACCTTGTTTTCAATTTAGGATAATTGTATAACATGGTCATTTAAAAAATCCACATGCAAAATTTGAATCATTCACAATATAGACTAACTTTGAATCAATAACACCATAAAATGAAGTGGAAATATTTCACTGATATAACCACAAATGTTTTCACAATGTAGTATGAAATCTCTGCTCTCCATTGCTAATTTACATACATGCATATATACACACACACACACAAATTTCTACCAGAAAAATCTACAATAGAGTAATGAATGCCAACAGATATTTCAACAAAAAGCCATTACAGTGCCCACTGTTCAGAACTTAAGATTCTGAGAGTTAAATATTCATGTCGTTAAATAAACTGAATATCCATTTTTATCTTAACCCTATCTCGACGGGTCTTGTGTCAAAGGCCATGTCATAGCATTTGTTGACTTGCATTCAAAATTTTATTGACCTACTATTTTATGAATCTATGTCAATAAGTTTGGTATAAAATTGTAGATTATAATTAGAATTTAAATATTATATGTCAGTTAATTTCTTAATTTAAGTTAATATTGAAAAAACACAGCTAAACATCAATTTTTTTGTGTGTCACATGGTACGTTGAACGCAGCACTGGTTCAAATTAGATGTTTGTGATGTCAATATATAAAATTACAGTTTCATATGAGCTGGAAACTCAAACTACTGATATTGACAAGCTAAAATATAAAATAAGAATGTCTTATCTTTTCTATTTGCAAAGATGTCGCTCTTGTACTGAATCAAACACAGTGACCCCCCAGCCCACCTCTTAATTTTTCGAAACAGTCCCTTATATATACACTTCTATATACAACATGAATAACCAATTGAAAGCTCAGAATGTCCCTCTAGTGGTTTTCTCAGCCATTTTCATGTGTTATTGTGCTAATTTCTTTTCACACAAGAAATCAAACGATGAGGTAAGTCTTTAGTGTAATAATGCTTGGAGATGGCTTGAATGGGTAATGAAGAAAAACTTTAATATAAGTTTAACATAACAACAAATGTACAACATTTTGACAAGGTTTTGTCATCATCAGGTACAAATACTTTACACTGACACACACACACATACATACATATATATATATATATATATATATATATATAG